GCTCCCCTGCATCTTAGTGCCTTATCCCCTGACCAGCCTTGCCAGCTTGAGTGCCTCCACAGCCTCTTGGTGGCTCGAGAAGAGGATGAGCAACGGGCGAAGTCTTGTGTTGTTGGTCTCCAGAGGATAAAACTTGCAAAGTCTGGCTGTTGGTCTGGGGTCTCTGGGTTCTCTGGGTTCTCCGGAAGCCCATAGGCCTTTAACTGGCTTCCCCACGCTTGGCTTCTAGTAGCCTTCCTCTAGCTCCCTGAGTTGTTCCTTGTGCTTCAGATTTAGGTCAACTTGTTGCTCAATTTCTGATTGGAGGGTCACCGGGATCGCCTCCTGCTTTCCCACCCTTTCAATGACCACTCCCAACTTATTTTTTTATCAGACTTATACGCACAGAACTAGATCAGTTAGACAAGACACTCTACAAATCACACTTATCATTGACGGCAATAATGTCCACATCGGATTGGGAACATGTAGACAATATGACTGCCTCTTCAGCTGCTACTATGTCGACCAAATGTAAGGAAAACCTGATTTCCAAATTTAACCTCCTCTTCAACAAAAGACCGGACCCACACACCAAAAGTTAGACGTTAATAAAGTCGTAATTAATCGCAGTAACAGTTCTATTTCCGATGGTCTGAAATCCGTTTTAGCTAAAGGTCTAAACTTTGCAGTCACACCTAAACACATACCAGTTAATGATATAATTGCCCAAGTAGACGTTGCTCTCAGGGGCCTGGGTCACATCGCTGCAGACGTAGCAAGATCTGAAATCGCTGCAACCCTCAAAAACGCTAAGATGCCAGCTAGCAACCTCAGCAAAGATGAGCGTTTTGAATTCTATAAATTAAAAAAGAGGAATGATATTGTAGTTCTCTCAGCTGACAAAGGCAATGCTACTGTCATCATGGATAAAATAGAATACAACAACAAAATTAAAGAATTACTCGACGATGGTAGTTATACAAAAATAAAAAGAGATCCCACCAACAGCCTCGTCACACAAACCAACAAAATAATTTCTGATTCAACCGCATTAATTGATCAATCTAAACAGTTTTCGTTGAAACCTTCTGCTGCCAGGCCACCAAGATTATACGGCTTACCAAAAATACATAAAGTTGATACACCTCTTCGTCCCATAGTCTCTACGATCAGCTCCCCCACCTACAAACTAGCTCGTTTTTTGTCTGAAATCCTGCGTCCTTTCACTGGAAAGACCACCTCTGCGGTACAAAATTCTACTCACCTGGTATTAACAATCAAGGGTATTTCCCTGTCCCCAGACGACCTGCTTGTCAGTTTTGATGTAGTTTCCTTATTCACCAAGGTTCCTGTACCTGACACCATTGCAATCATTGAAGACTTGGTTCATCAAGGACTAAACACTGAGGTACCCCCCCTGGTGAGACACTGTTTAACCAATACATACTTCACTTGGAATGGAACTTTCTACAAACAAACTGAGGGCACCCCAATGGGCTCCCCCCTTTCTCCAGTTATAGCTAACATTTTCATGGAGAAATTTGAGACTGACGCCATCCAGACTGCCACTCTGCGCCCAACCTTATGGAAGAGGTACGTGGATGACACTTTTGTCATCTGGCCACATGGCCGGCCTGCTCTAGACCAATTCTTCGACCACATCAATTCCATACACCCAGCCATCAGATTTACCATGGAAGTCGAAATAGATGGCAAGATACCTTTTTTGGATGTCCTAATTAAAAAGAGACCTGATGGTTCATTGAGCCACTCTGTCTACAGGAAAGCTACCCATACGGATGCTTATCTGAAACCGGATTCCCACCACCATCCATCACAGAAGAATTCTCTCATCAAGACTCTGTATCATAGAGCCCAATGCATATCCGACCAGGAACACATAAGCAGTGAACTCAAGCACGTACACCAAGCTCTTAGGGCTAATGGTTACTCCGACTATACAATCCGCAAAGCTATCACTCAAACCATGAAGAAGAACCCTCTTGAGGAGCCTTTCAAAACCATCACTTTACCCTACATTGCTGGGATCACAAAAAAGATCTCCAAAATCTTGAATAAACACAAGATCCAGGTCCGTTTCAACACATTACATAAAATCCGTAATCTGGTTCCGTCTGTAAAAGATGTGATTCCAGACATACAATACCCTGGTGTCTACAAACTAAGTTGCCTCTGTGGTAGTAGTTACATTGGAGAAACCAAACGCCATATCTCGGACCGCATTCGTGAACATAAAGCAGACCTTAAACACGGTAGGACCAACACCTCGGCCGTAGCAGATCATTGTTATAATTCAGTAGGCTCACATGACATTGACTTCTCCAAGACGGAGGTTCTTTGTAAGCCATCTGGCTTCCATGAGAGATTCGTTCATGAGGCTATCCACATATACAAACACAGAGACAATTTCAACCGAGAAGATGGATTCTATCTTAGCAATCATTGGAAAGATTTGATAAATCATTTCAGTTCTTGATTGATTGTTCACGCTTACAGTGGCTTTCAGACAGCATACATACAAACAAATTTCGTCTCCCCCCTCCTCTTTTCAAAAAATAGATGGACTAGTCCTGGGCAAACTGCCAATCGTTGCGCGTGACGCAAACGTTATTTTTTTATATAAATAAATAAATAAATATGCCGTTTTCAAAATAAATTTATGCAAACCGACACACCTGATGATGACCGTTTGAGTTATGGTCGAAACGTCGTGAGAATTTTTTATTGTTTTATATATATATTGTTATTTTGTTGTTTCTCTTCAACGTGACTTTACCGAAAAAACTAAGAATATGAATATAATATCCCAACTTATTGTTATGCACCCGTGTAAGGCGGTGTATTTCTCTGTTCAGAACCCAATTTTTACGGTATTCTGTTTTAGCTGCTCGATCTTATCGTGGAGGTCTTGAAGGCCTCTTCAATTGGATATTAACTTGTCTGGGACTTGCTGTCTTTTCAAGTGCCTAATGCCAACTATTATGGAATGTCCTTTGAGATGCTATCCAAGTACGCGGACTTCAGAACATGTATCTGGAGCAATAGTGAACAGTACATTCAATACAGAGCATAGTTCCTGAAATGTTGTGTTGGGTCTGTTTGGTGAGTTGATTTGGTTTGAACTCCTTCACGAAGGCTGTAACTGTACAATGGCTCCACATGAATTATCAAGCTCTAGTGGTCTATAAGACACCCCCCCCCCCCCCCCGAACATGTAGAAAACTCAGGCCGAATTCCCTCCTAAATTCTGACTGCAAACTGCTCACCAAAATTCTAATCAAAAGGTGAGAAAAATCCCTCCCTTCAATCCCTCAATAGTTGTCGAAACCCAGACAGGATTAATCAGAAACAGAGGCTCAGTAGACTATCAGAACATTAATAACCATAATTCACATAGCCACTGAGGGGAATATGAGTGGATACACCTTAACTGTTCATGGTGAATAGGTAATCAACAGGGTGAAATAGGATTCCTATTTCCATACATTAGCAACGATAAGCATGGGAATGTGTCAATTCACATCCACCAATGAACGGACAAAGGGTTGTTCATGTGTAGGAGATGTCCGAGCCTTCCTCACACACTCGCACCACAAAGACACACAATCTCTGCACTCAACATTGCACACACCAATCACACCCACGGGAATGCACAAGACGGGGGTCAAGGGTTAAGGGACACTGACGTCACACGAACTCGGCGCGCGAGACAGAGGTGTGGATTGGGAAGGAGGGCAGAGATGGAGGGTTTAAAAGGGGCTGTTCGAGGTTGGTTTGAGGAGCGAGTGTGGCTGTGGTTTGAAGAATAAAGAAGTGCTTAACCAGTCTCCGGCTCCTCTTCACAAGTATAGATTACTTACCTGCACAAACGGAGAGGTAGTTTTGACATGTGTAAGCATTATGTTGACCGCGGAGCCGACGAGCAACATTGCTCCCTATTGGCTAAGAGAGCGCACCAATGAATAAGCTCACTTGCCATTGGTGGAAGGAGACGAATGACGTCAGACGCACCTCCAGACACGGAAGGTGAAGGAGGTTCGGAAGGTGCGCTCAGAAAATTTGAGATGTGAAGAGGCGTGACGAGGGATGGGAGGAGAGAAAAGTGATTGGATGGAGAAAAACTGAAGAGAAAGAAAGGGAAAGTGAGAGGAGAAGAGGATCGGAGAGGCCCAGGGCGCTTTTGATGGTGGAAGTTGACGTGAACGCAGGCTAAAAAAGATAATAAAATCTTCTCACACCTTTTCTTTAACCAACGTGTTGGAGACGTTACACATGTAGAATCATTATAATTCCATGTTTACTTAATGATGTTAATTGCTTTGATGTAATCATATAACTTTTATCATATTAGTTCTATCATTACTTCTATTACAAATTTCACTATTACAGACTACGACACTGTTGAAGAGTGATAACGTTTCAATTCGAGGGCTTCCTGTTCAAATTATCAACCACGGGCCTGTCGTCCTTCAAGGTAAATACAACGAGTACAACTCAGGAGAACGTCAACTGTAGTGGTCTATGAGAGATCTCAAAGGAATGTCCCATTTCCATTCAAGGTTTATTGCCGATAAATGTTGGAAGCAACCCCCATTTGTGTAAGCAGGGTAACGTTTAATCTTACTTGGAACACTACTTAGGCCAGCGATTTAAAATGAAGCTGCTGTCTGTGTATGTATAAGTGTATATATATGAAAAAGCCAAGAAATTTTAACAACTCTGCGTGCGATATTACTGCGTCTGGATGCACAGATAATTCGTCTATGAATCAGCTAAATGCTACCAAACAGGTCATCTACCATGAACTGAAATTTAGCATTTTAAATATATATTTTTTTATTTTTAAAGCAGGAATAGCAAAAGAACACCATTAAATGCTGGGCCATTGTGTTTTTTAAGTTGTGATACCATTGTGTTGTCGCTAAACTGTTTTGGTACAATGTTTCGGGAATGCATTTCCCATTAATTAGTAAATGTGTAATATTAGCAATTCTTACCTGTTGCTTTACACCTCCAAAGAGAGATGATGATGACGATGATGCTGATGCAGGCGATTATCGCCATTGCAATCAATCCCCCGCGCAATGCAACTTTGAAGCATCACCACAGAAAAGACAATAAGAAACGTGTTAAAGGAGAGCCATTTTTAGTGGTTATACAGCACATGTACAATTTAAAACACACTAATGTAATTTTACTCGGAAGTACATGATTAAACGAAATAACCTTTGTTGTATTTTAGAATTAAGCTTGCTAGTCAGAATAAAACAACATTTAAATAATTATACTTTGATATAACATTTTGCTCCTTTTCTAACCGTTTTGTGGGGATATAGATGCTAGATTCTTGGTACGATTCTCTTAAATAACTTTTCTGTCACCCCCCTACCCCCATATGTCTCTGTATCCTGCTTCAAGTTGACCTCATTAGCTAACCAATGGGATTACCAGGTGCATTCTACTCTATTTTCCCAGCAATGGTGTTCCTCCTCTTGGGAACCCGTATGCTATGATGTTCATCAAGTGTCTATACTTGGGTCACTTCTCTTCTACAGTCATGTTCTCTCACAAGAAACAGTTTATATGCCAATTATACACAGAAGTATTTGACACTGAATGTCTATCCTACTGCTCTTGCCAGTTATTTTATCTAGTCGACTGATATTTTCCTCAAACCGAGGTCCATCTTATTAGTAGGAAGTGTGTCCTAAATCACAATCCTAAAATATTAAGACGTTGTCTTCTTATTACATTCTCAAAAAGGTTAGTGTTTGTAGAAATGTGTTTATCTTGATTAAAATAAATAATCAGATTTAAAACATGTTTCCCACTGTTTTATGAAATCTATTTTTGGTAGTTTTTTATGTTATAAAGTGACATTATCTGATGTAAATGTTGGTGAAATTATGTCACCGTCGCTACATCGACCCGACTATCTGCAATTTAAAGGGACAGAGTAGGGAGGTGTAAAGTCCTTGAAGGGAACAAAGTTGGAGAGTTCAGAATCGTCGTTTTCCAATGTCCTCCACCGTTTCCTGCATGTATCACACCCCACCCGCTGCCAATAAAGTAAGCGAGAATAGAGGAGTTGTAGATAATATTGGCCTCTCCCCAAATGAACATCTTACCAGAGGGGGAAATCCCCAAGTGACACTTTAATTCAGCCTAGAACTGATTTAATCGATGCTGAAGCGTCTTCAGTTGGGCTAGCATCACACAAAGACAGGCACATTGTGATCCTGTACTCGAGCACGGTGGCCCTAGCCGCAACTTTAATGCTCCATGACAGTGACTGTGGTCGTGCACTGGAGTTGGTGCTTCATTCTCCTTAAACATCTAGCGACTGGTAAAATTACCGATTATTTTATTAGTGAGGCCATTGATAGTACTGCTCTTATGGAAACATAAGAATAGGTTTTAACATTTCTGCCAATAAAGCAGGTGTTAAGATTTCGATTTAAAGCTTTCGTGACTGCAGGGATTCATCTTCTTGGTTCATTCGGTAAAGTCACGTAGAAGGGAAACAATAAAATAATAAAAATGAAACATAATAAAATAAAATTCTCACGACGTTTCGGCCACAACACAAGAAGCCTTCTGTCGTCCTGACAGTTCTGTTCCTTCACCTGAAGAATGCTACTTGTGTTGTGGCCGAAACGTCGTGAGAATTTTATTTTATTATGTTTTATTTTTATTATTTTATTTCCATTCTACGTGACTTTACCGAAAGAACCAAGAAGAGGTGTTAAGATGTTCAAACACCAAATATAAACCGTTTGCAAGCATTTAAAGTCATGACATGATCATTAATATAAATGCTTTGACTTTGCTTTGTCTTTGTTTGCATGTTCACCACAAGTAGTTGTGGTTAATGCAGACGTGATTGCTTGCAAAAGGTTTATCTTTGGTGTTTGAACATCTTAAACCCTTCTTTCATTGCCAGAATGGGTAAAACCTATTATTATTTTCATACTTTGATGCTGTTAAAAAAGTTCCCATTCAGTACAACTCTTGTTTATTATCTTATTGTTCATGTCATTGATGCTTATATTATTGTTTTTTGCAGTTTATAGTAAAATATATTTTTCAAACTCTTGATCTTATTGTATTCTACTATTACACTATAGTGTAATAGTAGAATACAACATAGCTATTTCTGTGACCAGTCACAAGCTAATCACTCAGCCATTTCAATGCTAAATTATATGCTAATTCCTTTGTCAAGGCGCTTTGTTTCCTCTCACACAGCTTAAAGGTCGTGATCTGAACGTGGCTCTTTCACTCCAGCACTGTCCTACCAGACAGTCTCGTCCCTTCACCTGATGAAGGCCACTTGTGTTGTGGCCAAAACATCGTGAGAATATTATTGTGTTATTTTATTTTATCAATTTATTATTTTATTCTCATTCTACGTGACTTTACCAAAGAACCAAAGAAGAAAAGTCAAAACCATTGCAAAACCTCCATCACGTGCAGAGTTTGCGATGCCCTCTTGGTGGGATGGATCATCAGGACATTTTGATGAACACGACGTCCATTTCATGAGACCTCCTTTGCCAGTATTAAATTATGATAATAGGATTTTCCCCTTTCTGGCAATGACACAGGTGTTAAGATGTTAAAACACCAAACTGAAACCTCTGCATTAACCAAATATACCTGTCGTGAACATGCAAACAAAAAACATGATCTGACAGTATGTGCATTATCTTTGAAACTGATTGGTCCACACCAGAGACAGCTTTCTTTAGAGCCTAGTCTCAAACAGTGTTAGACCAGAGGACGCCAAAAGATGAACAGCACAAAGACAATGCCACTATCAGGACATTGAGAGCTCGGGGTGAGCAGCAACATCATGAGACCTCCTTTGCCAGTATTAAATTATATTTAATTGTCTGGATGAGAATGATACTCCGGCTTCGATTACTCTAACAGCACGTGATGTATGTAACATGTAGTTTGCCCTATAAATCAGTGCTATTGACGAATGTGGACTGTATTGGTATTACCAAGGCGAACATACCTTCATTATTGCGTACACACTGTCCATTCGATCTGTAATATCCTTATTTACATTGGCAAATTGAGTTTTGTTCTTTCCTACATTCTTGTACAATCTCCTCTCCTAAAAAACAAATTAACATTTAAAAATCCACACAAGAAGTTAAAAGTGCACGTTATTTTTTGAGATTGAAGCAAAGCATTCACATGTGTAGTGGCATCACTGGTGTCACTGTGTAATGCAGGCCCTAGAGAGGCATGGCGTGCGATCTATTGACATCGCGGGCACCACGTATATGTGAGTGCAGTACCAGCCCTAGAGGTGCTCGGTGATCACTGACTGGCAGTGCTGGATGGCACCACGCTCTGCGTGCAGTGCCGACCCCTACAGGATAGGGTGTGGGAGTGCTGGCCATGGGAATGGGGTTACTAAGGGGAATGGCACTCTAGTTGACCTCGAAAGACACGTGACCGGTAAAGTCTACACAGGGCCCCCAGGTGGGGGTTAGGGGTGGTCACGTGTCAGGTCCGAGATCCTGCTCGAGGGTTCTCAAAGGTGGTCGTTGCTAAGGGCGGAGCCAGCCACACCACAGAGAATATAATCCGGGTCCTCGAAAGGGACCAGTGATGTTGTTATCCTGAAGAAACCTACGTGCCACGTTCTACGTCCTACAGAGTCACCAATACATGGACTGGGACCCAAGCTGTGGTCCGGTCCATCGTAGCTACTCCCAGTGTAATTATTGTAGTTAGCCTGGTGGTCCACCACCATAGGTTGTTATCTGGTTAAGGGGCAGTTACCCCTTTATGTTGGTATCAATAAATGTGTTGCCTCCAAAGAGTATGTCTGCGACTCAGTTGAACTCACTACACTTGATTCACATGTCTTTGTTGCTGGGTGGCAATGCTGCAAACCTTATTTGCTTGCACAGTTAAGGTGTAATTAAAATGTCAATATTACAGTAAAATCTAAATAAAATCACAACATTTCAATCGCAACAGAAGCTTTCGTCTTCAGGTGAAAATCGCGTTAGCCGCGATGTCTACTGCGAGCAGCACTATGTCTGAAGTACAGTTGCCAACTTTGCTTTGATGTGCGTGAATCACGATTAATTTTACAACCATAATTGCTAAGATGTAAGCAACTAAAAACAATCCAGTGTGGATCGCAATAGACTTCACTCATGTCACATTGTTTTGTCTTTTTAGTCATTTAGAAACATCTCCATTTCTAAATTCATTCTAATTTAAATTCTGTCCTTGTGTATATCCAGATGTTATTAAGGGATTGTGTACTTAACAATATCTGAATTGTACATCCAACATAACACGTGTAAACGTTCTTCAAATATTTGCTATCAACATACAAAGTGAATTATCTAAGTATAAGATAGTCAATCTTTCAGTCCTCCTACTCTCAATAAGGGTACATGTCTTAAACATGAGCGAAAAGTCACACTCGCTCACAAGCAAACCAAACCATCTGCTCCTCCTGTGGTGTAAAATGGAATAGATCTGTAGTGAACATTGAAAGTAAACACCGACTCTACATATGCAGAAACTATTAGAATTTGTTTAAAGAAGTGCACTGTTCTCCTTCTGTGTTTAAGGACTGGTCTTCCTCCTGCCATAAATGTAAAGGCAACATCTATAATCCAGTTAATAATTACATAAATTAAGGCTGGAGTGAGGTTGAATTAGTGCCGTACTCCAGATGTAGTTATACAAATCTTGGAGACAGGCATCTCCTTAGTCGAACCCTTGCTACCGAGTTAGTGTGGAGGTCCCAAAGCAAGTCCATGGGTGGTCCTGGGACGCCCTTCAGCGTCAGCCACAGTGGTTTTCTGTTCACTGAACTAAACGGGGACTTCAGGTCGATGTATGTATGTTGAACTTTTTTCGTAGATGTATGCCACATCGAGCAGGTGGTTACGTTCTCGGTAAGGTTGGGTCAGCAGATCGACAGTGAGCACAGCATTAATCGTTGGACAACTAGCATTGAATATGGACTTATGTGGCCGTGCGACGTTTGCACAGGAGTGGGATCAACCTGCTGAGTAGCACAACCTGTTGATCAGCTGAGCAACAAATGCCTCTTCAATTTTAGAAGACCATGAAACTACATTTGAAGAAGTGCATTTGCTCAAATTAATTTTGATGTCAACCTGAGAGACCTACAATTCACGTCAGGAATTGCCGGTGGTTTTCCACATGCTCAGAGGTGATTTTCTCTTTACACATTCTCGTGTGTTTGAAGCTCATAGTTTTCTGGTTTAAAGTATTCTGCTATCATGGGGTTTTCTCATTTGTTACATATTTTATTGGTCAGTAGACATCTCGTTTGACGTACGCGAATATATCAACACAATAATCAAATGCAGAGTAAATCCCAGACGTATATCTACCGTGTATACTAAAGAAGCATATTCAGCGGAAATGTCGAGGTTTTTTTCCCAATAAGTAACTCTGGAATAGCATGTTATTAGTTTTTCATAATTTAATATCTTATTGAATATTGACTATTTTTGAAGCAGTCGCTTTATAACTTGCATGTGACTAATTATGCATGTCTACGTGTGCGAGTAATACTGTTAACCGTGTTCAAGGTAAGCGGATATGACATTATAGGACTTGAGTGAATGAGCACTCTAGCAGTTGTTGAGTGGTGTTTGTGGTTGTAAACACAACCTTCCACGACCCCCTCCACAGTCCCACGTCCTCATGGCAACTACTATAATGAATAAAAAATTGGTGACTAACCATGGCCAAACAGTACAAACTGATAATATTGAGATCATACTCACCCTCTGCACATGGTGTGCAGTCGAAGCAAGCGGATTCATTATTTGGCTTGTCAGTGTAAAATTTCCTTTGAATGCATGGAATACATTTACGGATTCCTCCATCAGTCAAACAGTCTTCTGCCTTGAATGTTCCTAGGGGATGCAATACAATTAAACGATTAAAAGAGATCAAAGCAAAATGTCAGAATTATTACTACAATACTGCAGACTTACAGTGCAGCAATATCAATATAAACATGTGGCATGCACACTGACAGGCATTTTGTTAATCCACTGGTCGATGGCAGTCTCCCCATACCATAAATATGTGTTTGACCATACTTCACCACGCCGGTCAGTGTGGGCTGGAGAACGAGCTTGGATGTGGGACATAGAAGTACACTGTTCTCTGCTGCATAACCCGCATTGATCAGTGTGGTGAAGTATGGTCAAGCAAACAACCACATCTGACGTGGTGCTTACCACGTAGTTATGCTTTTAATAATTAAGCTTTACGTGTTTACTCGTCCTTGGTCTCTATCTGCCTTATTTTTGCGTCTTTTTTAGCATTGTCGATCCATGATGTCTGGAAAAAAGGCCTGCAAGTGTTAGTGAGGGAAACGTGACCAAAGTGTCAAGGGAAAGTATAACTTTGGATGTTACAATGCAAGTGATGTGGCGAGTCGAGGTGGTGAGCGTCAGGTCCATGTGTGTCATGAGCGTCAGGGGCATGCACTGGTGAGTACAGTACATCAAACTGATGTTATAAAATCTATATTTATTGTTTACTATGTTTTATTATTATAGCTGTTACCGATAACTCAATAGAGTCATAAAATATTGCTCATGTATGCAATGGTATAATAACCACATTTATCGCCAATTCGACTCGTGTTTGCTTCTCCAGGAAGGCATCTCTAGCGCTAATCAAGTTCTGCCTGTATTGTTATACTCTTGGCTTGTATTGAGTAGTTTGTGCTGTGAGTTAAATATGGATTTTAAAACAGCTTCTGATAATCGGACCGATACGACTGACCAATCATACGCTCTAACAGTGGAACAAAATGCCAATCGAGTCCCAGCAATGAGAACGTACAGAGCTGGTGTCTGTTTTTGTAGAACATTTGCATCGAGTTGTACCTGCAGGGCAGAGATCGCAGCACACGTCATCTTCGGTTTTGTAGCTGTCCTTGGGACATTGTTTAGCTTCAGATCCTTCTGCATGCCGAACACCCTGAGAACACAGACAAGGAGTCATATTTAGTGAAGCATTGACACAACAGATGTGTGCCTGGAGGACATGGATGGAGACTATTTAATGGTATTTCATTTCGCAGGAATATGACTTAAGCATTCATATTCTAATAATAGGGTTTCTCCCCTTTTTTCTGGCAACAAAACTGAAATCTTTTTACGAGGATTCATGTCTGCATTAACCACAATACCTGCAGTCAAAATGCAAACAAAAAACATACTATGATAATATATGCATTTGCCTTGAAACTGATTGGTCCACACCAAGGGACGGCTTTCTTTTGAGCCTCGACCCAATTGGTGCTCGACCAGATGACGCCTTTTGGCGTACACCTATACGCGTTTTGTTGCCAGAAAAAAGGGGAAAACCCTATTATTTTATTTTGGTACTGGTAAAAGAGGTCTAATGATGTAGACATTCATATTATATTGAAAAACACCTCAGATTGAGAGTTAAATTAGACAATTACTGCAGCTCCCCCAAATGAAGCAGCTAATAAAATTCAAGAAAACATAAGTGTATATGTCACTAATGACTAAATTGTATTTGTACATGTTTTTTTTTTTATGCGCCTTTATGGATATCCCATATTAATTAATCACGTGTAATGGTGGCCAACAACTTCAATCCAATTTCCGTTATACCACGCTGAGAATGCAAGATCTGTAGTCTGGAATTTTACAGAACTAGCTACTATTTAATGTTATTGAAATGCAAATGCTATTGTCTTTCCACTGTAGATATCCATGAAACGGGTTTATATAAACTAGCGGTAAGTACCCAGTGTTGCCCGGGTGAAAAAGATAGACACACATCGACCCACATACATAGAAACACATGTACCTAGACGCACACACACACATATGGACTCACATAGACAGACGTCGACTTTAGACACACACACATAGAGTTACACACACATCGACTCACACGCACACAGACTTACAAACACATATCGACTCACACATACAGACATAGACTCAACAACAACAACCACCGTTATTTGCCATTAAGTGGCATTGACGTCACCACGATGCTTGTGGCAGGCTATATGCACCTTGAGGCCACGTGAAGTGTCGAACGCCGGCTGGCATGAGGTCACGGGGCAGACCCAGGTGCCACAGGTCGACTGACTGAGATGACTGACTGATGCATCATCTGTGCACTCTACTGTGCTAACTTTCTGTGCTTTAGCCACCTGGTGCTCCACTCGTTGTTCTGAGCGTGGCTTTTCCGCCCTCCTTTGCTGGAAGGCGACTGCCTCCAACTGGCCAGTAGCGTCCTTCAGGAGGCTCTGCCACAGAGGCCGATCTTGACACCGCTGGTACCAGTCATCGACAAGTACACTCAGCTCTACATCATCCTGTACCAAATCACTCCATCTCTTCTCTTAGCCCGTGATGCGCCCGTTTAAGCCCCCTCAATCCGGCCGGAACAAAAGCTGTTTAGGCATGCGTTGGCTGGGCATGCGGACTACATGGCCCAGCCAACGCAGCCTTGCCTGCCATAGGAGGTCATCGAATGGACTTTGTTCAGATCTTTCAAGGATTTGTGAGCTCCTCACACAATGCAGCCTGGTTAAACCCAGGATGGATCATAGGCAGGCCAGCCTAAATGTTTGTAACCGGCGAAGATATTCCATTAGGGGGGTTCAAGTTTCGCAAGCGTAGAGAAGGGAGGCAATGACCATGTCCGAGAAGACCAGGAGCTACGTGCGGAGCGAGAGACCAGGTAGCTTCCACACAGTATCACGCAACCGATGAAAAGATAATGTGGCTCGACTAATTCGGGAGTGAGACCTCTGCTGATAAACCGGAGCTGGTCATGAGTACACTACCCAGGTATGGGAAACTCTGCACTCTCTCCACAACTGCCCCATCACCAATTGGAGTTGTGGGAGTGGAGTGTCAGATGGTACAAATACCCAGGCAGGTGCTTAGTTTTGCTGGGGCTGATGGTAAGGCCCCACCTCTGGGTGGCAAGCTCCAGTTCAGCAGCAGCACCTCGAACTCCTCCTCAGAGTGAGCAGCAATTATCAGATCATCAGCATACATAACGTGGTTGACCAATAGGGAGCCATCCCTTGACCACACCCGGGCATCGATCAGCCTTCCATTGTATCTGTACCAGATGGGAATTCTTCCGGTACAGGCATTGAAGGCTTAACGAACTACGTGGTCCAAATATATGTAAAAGATTGTGGGAGCCAGAGGACATCCCTGTCGCACCGCAAGGTGTAGAGTGAATGGCTCTGACTCATGGCCACGTAGTTTGACGTGGGGCCGCTCAACATCATGAAGGTCCTGAAGGATCGTGAGCAGAGGGCCAGGGACTCCAAAAGCACGAAGAGCAACCCACTGAGCCCAGGCCTACAGATGGTATCATAGGCCTTGAGCAGGTGAATAAACACACACATGGACTAACACGCACACATGGACCTACAGTCACTTAAAGAAATGGACTTACACTGACTAACATGGAGCCATGTACACACAGCGACTAACACACACACACATGGACTGACACACACACATTCATAGACTCACACAAACACATACATAGACTGACACACATTGCCGTACACACACATAGACATATTGACTCTCACACACAGACATACTTTAGATACACACACATGGAGTTACACGCACATATCCACTCACACACACACATTGACTTAGACACACACACATCGAGTGACACGCACACATGTACAGACTTACACACACATGTGGACTAGAACACACACACACAGATTGACAGACACACAGACACGCAAACACACATTGACTTACACACTGACATGGAGCCATGCACACACATCGACTAACACACACAGTGACTGATACACACACATGGACTGACACACACACTTGGACTGACACACACAAACACATCGACGTACACACACATGGACATGCACAGCAATCCCCAATGATGGCACAGCTATCAGCATTGCGGTACTACGTATCAGTAAATAGCGGGACATGAGCAATCGAAACAATAGAAATGCATAGAAGAAATACGCTGATATAAGTGTACATAAAATAGCAGCAGTACGTACAGGTAAAATGAGAAGCAGGCTACAGTCTAGATCATAGACTCCCAGTATGCCGACTCAATGACAAAACCATTGCTACAGTGGACACAAAAAGCTGGCAATACAGGCAGCAGCTTAAAAAGCAGGATACATTCGACATGAAAGGCCTGACAGTACACTGAGTGAAGTAAAGGCGCAGGCAACAGATTATAGACTGGCATACACTTATAATGGTAAATAGGGAAATTAGCAGTGTAGAAAATAGAGTACCCCACCCCACCATCCCCCCGCCGAGCTACAATAATCCTACAAGAAACTATGTAAGCGCTCTAATATTAGTATGTACCGACCCTAGAGTAGTAAGTGCACACATTGGGGTGGGGGGGGGAGAGAAGAGGACATGACACTTGGATGAATTTACCGGCATGGTTTCGTGTATTTTTTGTGCATTCTGAACGCGAAGGAGAAATCACGGTACAGACCCAGGTGCCATGAGTTAACTGACTGAGATAACCGGCAGATGTACCACCTGTGCTCCCCACTGGGCCACCTCGCTGAGTTGTATCCACCTGGCGCTCCACTCGTTGTTGTGAGCGTTGCTTCTCTGCTCTCGATACTCTGATAGTGTGCTGTTTTTGAGTTGTACGCCTTTTGGCGTCATCTAATCCAACACCAGTGGAGACTAGCCTCTAAGAAAAGCCGTCTCGGGTGTGGACCAATAAATTTCAAGGACAGTGCATATCATTTATAAGAGGTGTCTCTTTTGTGTTGTGGTTATTGCAAACATGATCCCTTGTTTAAAGGTGTCAGTTTTGGTGCCAGATAAAAGGGTAAAAACCTATCACTATATCTTGCAACTGGCAAAGGAGGTCTCATAATGTCTGTCCAGACCTTTCAATTATGTGTGAACTCCTCACAAAATCCAGCCTGGTTAAAAACAGGATGAATTGTAGGCAGGCCAGCCAGACCATTTCAAATGGCACAGATGTTCCTTCAGAGGGGTCTGCACTCCACAAGTTTAGAGAAGGAAGTGCATACCTGTGACCAAGAAAACCTGAAAGCTTTGCAAGGAGTGGCAGACAGGTAGCTGCCACGCAGCATTACGCAGTGGTTGGAAATATAATTCTGCTGGAATGATTCGGAGTGATATCTCTGCTGCCAAAACTGAGCTGGTTGTAAGCACACTCCCCAGTAACAAACTTCTCTACTCTCTCCAGAACTGCCACAAACCTTATGGCGAGTTGAGGGGTGAAGTGTTTGATGACACAAAATACCCAGGCAGGTGCTTTTTTTTGGTCAGTCTCATAGTCAGGCCCGACCTCTTAGTGGCATGCTCCAGGTTGAGCAAGAGAGCCTTCAATTCCTTCCCAGATTCAGCAGCAGTAACCAAATAATCAGCACACCCTTATTATTAACCAATAAGGTCACCGATCAGCATCTCATTGAATCTGTTCTAGATGGAAACTCCTCTGGTACAACTTTAATGTTGCTCTCAGAGACACCATCTTGTTCTTTGATATATATATTTGTTATGAATAAAGTCCGCTTACAACTTAACGAGTAACCGCGAGTGAATATATACACTTGGGTAATTTAAATACTCTATTCTGAGACAAAGTAACACCAGCCCTTCAAGACTACATGGTGCCCACTCCAGGATGATGAGGACGACCTGCTCCAAGGTGACGGCGGCGGCGACGATTCCCCACAACAACAGCCGCGAGGTCAAGTTCGCACCGGCTCTTATTCCTCTCATGACCTGGCCACGCCCCTATCCCCAAACTCTCGCTCACCACACCTGGCCCTGTCAATCTCTGCCCTTATTACCATTTACGCCCGTTGGGTCCCGTGCTTCCCCTCACGTTATTTTCTTTAGTGGCCTGCCCCCTGGCATTGTTTTTGTTAGCTACCTCACGTGATTCAGATATCCGATCCAGCGTGACCTACAAGGTTGCTGGCAGAGAATGACTCTTCCTTCCAGAGGACAGACACAATTGGACATCAATTGTGGGTTCACTATAGCAGTCATACATCAGTAAAAACCGGGGAAATCCCGTGGAGGTACGAGGGGCCATCCTATATGCTGCCTGGACCTCAGGGATGTGTTGGTCCCAATTTGCCTGCCCTGCATCGACTGCTTGGCAAAGCATTGATGTTAGGGTTTTGTGAAGGCATTCTACCATGCAGTCTATCTGAGGATAGTAAGGCGACGTCCGAATCTTCTTTGTGCCTAGCACGTCACACACTTCACGTAACAACTTCAATGAGAAGTTCTTGCCTGGGTCCATAAGGAGTTGCTCGACAGCATCTGAATACAACCCTGGTTAATAAAAAAATTGTAAGGGCATCCTGCTCAAAAAAACTGTGCACAAGAGGTAGGGCACAGCCAGTGTTTTTGAAAGCAACACCGGCCCTGACATCTCAATCTCCCCCAATCTGATGCGTGCTTCTATTTGTGCTACAATTCCCATACTTCCCCCATTTGCAACACGCATTCACCACCAGCATCACACGACGATTTTTAAAGGGTAACGTTAAAAAAATAACCTCAGATATGATAGTAGCCGAGGCACCTGTGTCAACCAACACACGAACTTCCACTCCTTGTACAAACCTTACTATTACCAATGAGCCAGCCGTCGCTGCTACTACTCGGCGTGCCAGCTTTCGCCACTGCGTTCTCGAGTTTGGCAACCCCTTTGTCGGCCATGCTAGCTGGCAGTCCACCCTGACCAGAGAATGGGAGATGGAAATGGTCTCTGCGAGACCACGTAGCCCCGATGCGTGATATTCTTCCAGCGGCCGGTTGTTAGGTGTATCGTGACTTGCCTGGAGGGGGCTGGGATGTGGTGGTCGACGAGGCGTTGGATGTGCGGGACTCTGTCGATGTCTGAGTGATGATTTGGCATCCCCACACGAAGTGTCCAAGCTGGCCACAACGGAAGCAGGCAGTCCTGGGCGCTCGCAGCAATGGCGCTGCCTCGACCGGGATCGCCACTCCCGGTTCCGTCGCGGCATCTCTCCTTGCCGCCGCTCCCATCAATGAACCGCTGCCGTCACCTCCCCCGTAGATTCGGCGCCATCCTCCGTCAGCTCCTCTATGCCCCGTGATGGTCCGCTGTTCGATCCATCTCCAGTCCACGGCTTCCCAGTCCATGCAGCCACCCAAGTCCGTTTTCGCAGGTTTCTTGCACTTGCAGACACCTGGCGGCCCACAAGGATGTCTAAGTGTCTTTGTCGATCACCGGTAGCATGACTCCCATTTCAGAAGCCACTTAAAACATTTTCTCCATTATAAGGGGGTCGAGCTCTGCTTGATCCAACTGCGGGCAGGCCACCAACCCCAATGCAATCAGCGCGCCTCGTGTAGTTGGTCCAGTGTGACCTGCAAGGACACCGGCTAACCTGACACGTTTTTGGGAGTCTTTCCCAGCTGTGTTTCTATGGGAGGTTCATGCTCCCTGCCATACATTATGTAAAAAGGAGAAAACCCCTTGGAGGTACGTGGCACCAGTCTATATGCTGCCAAAACCCCTGGGATGTGGAGATCCCAGTCAATGTGTGTCTAATCTATGACTTGGCAGAGCATTAGCATTAAGGTCCTGTTCAGCCATTCCACCATACTGTTTAAGGGTGGTATGGGGAAGTGCGCGCCTTTTTATTTCCATGGTGCCCGACATACCTCCTTTAGAAGTTTTGACAAAAAAATTGTCCCTGGTCATTGAGGATCTGCTCAGGAGGACCGTTGTCCATCACATATCTGTGAAGGAATTCATCAGCAATTGATGCTGTGGTTTGGTCAGGCAGCGGCCATGCCATTGGCCACCTTGTGAGATATTCCATCCCCATCAGAAGAGATATTCCCCCTTGATGAGCATGGATTGGCCGGATGATAGAGGGCGACCAATTCGTTGACTTTAGAGACAACAATCGGCTGTAAGGGTGGCTGTGACCTATGTACAGGTGGTTTCTGATGATGTCCGGGCTCTCGTCCACTCGAGCCATCACCTGGGTCTTCGGCTGATCTCCTCCTAAGCCTAAGTCACCAGGCCACCCACAATAAAGTCTGTGCCTCCGAGTCCAATATAGGGAGCACCATGGCCATCTCTTGGACCAATGCCAGCATTTTCTCCATCACCAGGAAGTCCAGTGCCGCTACGTCCAGCTGAGGGTAAGCTGATTGCTCGAGCAATCTGGTACATGAGGAGCGACTCGGCTTCCTCCTGCCTGCGCCGATGAAATTTCCACTTGATGGTGAGTTAAAGACCTCTGCCACCTCAAGACCGGCTAATTTATGCGTGATTCTCCATTCCATCAGTATCGCCTTGAAGATGGTGAGGGCCTCGTTGGCAAGGCCTTCAGTGCTTTGGCCTCCGACCAGTTCAAGGTCTGATACGTGGCTTAAAATTGGCGGACGAAGGCCCCCATTCGACGCCCGCCACCACAAACTTTTTCACCGGCCCCAGCCGGCGAGGTCAGTTGGCCACTCTCTCCCATGCTGCCACGGCTGTTTCTTGAACCACGGCTGCACTGAGTGTTGCCAGTTCCTCAGTTTCGACCACCGATGGCGAGACAGTTATAACCGCCGGTTCCGTGGTTCCAACCACCAATTCCATAGTTTCTGCCACCATTTCCACCACTCCCGGCCTCTCCATCCCGGCGAGCTTTGTCACCAGCTGGGAGAACGTACCTGTAAGTCAATTGATCCACCCCTCCAGCCTCTCCCAGCTGCTGGTCACCAGCGGCATCAGAGCGAGCAGACTCTCTGGCCGCTGCTGCTGCATCTCTCGCTCGACCAGCGCGTTCATCGCCTCTCCTGTGGTCTCGAGGTTGGTCTCTGGGTGCTCGTCTCCTGGGACGTTCTGAAGGCTGACCCCCTCATTATCGTACGTCGTCGGTGGGTTTCTTCATCGGCTTGAGTGTGACATTCTTGAGGTAGACCACTTATGACACCAGTTGTAATGACGCCAACACACATGTGCTTGGAGCCTCTTTAATTCGTGACACAGCACCAACTCTAGCCCTGGCTTCTTCCTGTAGCTTTAAGCTCATACGCTCTGCCGAAACCTCCCCTCCCCTTGTGCTCTCCCCTTTCATCCCTCTCATGCCCCTCCTCTCGAAATTTCCCTCACTGTCGATTTTCCATCCTATCCCCATCCTTCTCCCTTAACGATCTCAACCGTCGCCTCAACTCTAAACCTCTGCTTGTCAGTTTGAACCTCTCCTCCAATCCCTTCAAACCTTGCCTTCTGACCAACCATCATAGTGACCTCTCTGCACCAATAGTAGGCCTTGGTCTACTTCCTGAAAGTCTGTTTGGCTGCGCATTTGCTTGTGGTGATTGCTTCCTAATTTCTGTCATTACAGAAGTATGGTGCCTTTACCAACCAGTAATTGCCAGCGTGAAGTATGGTCACATGACCCACCGAACCTGGGGGAGGCTGTCATTCAGCAGTGAATTGACCAAAGGGATGTACTCTGTATGCAAGCATAGCTATTCGTTATGCCGACGTCAATGTACTCATTAACGGCTAAGTTGACCTGGGGAAGGTGCAGAATCGCTTTAGACATTAATCGCTGATGTTGGATGCAGGTAGGTACTGTACTCAGGTGACCAGTTACGAGTGCACTGCGCCAACCACTATACCTTCCCTCTGCTCTAAAGTGACCCATGCAAACACAGGCATGCTGCATACATTGAGTAGAGGCGGACGGGAATGTGCTTAGCTTGCCACTCCCCCCATGACAACAATACAGTAATTCAGAACACTTGATGTTGGTACCATTCTGATTGCTCAAGGTTATCACAAAGGCGCAATGTTTCACAGACATTGCAGTGGTTTTACAGTCGTGCTGATGTTGCTCTTAGGAATAACAATCGAGTAATTTGCAGGTATTTTGGGGGGTATTGAGATATTTGATAAATACCAGTAAGTGTGTGTTTATACTCCCATTCTGACTTCCTCTCCGCTACCCTACAATTCACTCCACTATACACCTCTCACCCCATAAATACAGCTATAATATACATAGCTACATATGACTATACGTACAAAGATAACGATACACATGTATAGAAAATCACCCGGAATGCGCCAAGGTCTTTGAAGCAACCAGGATTGAGCCTGGATAGTGCTTGGATCTGCATCAACAATGACCCGTAGGCTTCTGCGGGCTACATTGCCAGCTGAGGGCAGTTCACCAAAGTCAATTATTGAACTGTGCTCTGCTCCAACTTGCACTGATCACATTGAAGTATGGTCAGATAACCCCTACGGCATGCTTGGCGTGGAGCGGTCCTCATAGTGCTTGTAAGTGTACATACTGTGGGTAAGACAGTGTTCATGAGCTCCAGCAGCCTCAGGTTATTTTTCCCTACAGGACCTAAAAAGAACCTTCCAACGGCCATGAATACATCTCGCATGACACATGCACTGCACACATTTAAAACAGCGCAAATAAATAATCCAGAGTTTTATAAAAAAAAATTGCCTGGTGACTTTTGATATTTGCTTAGAAAGCCAGAGTAAATGTGTTACTATGTGGAAACGTAGAATGGAGTCCTGCATATTTCTTCTTTATTGAAACAATAACTTGTTACTTCCTCTTTGGTTCTTTCAGTAAAGTCGCATAGGTAGAAAAAATACAAATAAAATGACATAATATATCACAACGTTTCGATCGCAACACAAGCAACCGATCGCAACACAAGCAACCGATGGCAACACAATCGATCGAAACGTCGTGATCTATTATTTTTTCTACCTACGTGATTTCACTGAAAGAACCAAAGAGTGTGGATTCTTGCAGTCACGAAAGCTTCAAATCAAACGTGTTACTTGTTTCATAAAGTGTATGTATGCATGATTAAAGCACTCACCAGCATAACGCAACCGATAACGACGATAAAGAGCAGCTGAGGTCCCATCCGGTCTCTGAGACAGCTTGAGTTGATCTGAGACGCCGGGACTTTATTCCCGTGGAGACTCGGGAGTCCGATCACTACCCCTGAGCAGCGCTACTCCTCAGCAGTTTAGAGAGCAAATATTATCGCGTGTTCTTCAAGACTGCCAGCCCATCACGTGAGCTGCACATACAGTATAAGTTAAAGAATTTGAAGCCAAACCGGTCGGAGGGGTTTTCATTTAGCAGCGTATGACCAAAAAACATTGCCTGAAAGAAAAGAGACAAGCAGACCAATGTGTCCTTCATTATTTTTCTGTAACACCCAAATGTCCAACAGATTCTTGGGAGTGCATCATTTCAGAAGCATTGATACAGTGCAAGCAAATTCCAGATAGGTTTTGATGTAACAGTCTCATCATCAGAATAAATATTGCTTGAATCAATGCTGGTGAACTGTCACGTGTAATAGGCAATTACCTATGTTTAAGATCTGGCTGTCGCCTGATGAAGCTAGTTGCAATTACTGGCGAAACTTCACACTCAGATTGTAAATGTTGTCGGTTGGCTCTCCAACACACTGGTGTGCTGTACTCGTGACGACTTGGCATGTTCCGTTTACGTACCAACCCTTACGAGTTGGCTGTGTCAGGTGGTGGCTGGTTTAAACAACACATTTATATATTTACGTGATCTAACCCAAAACACCTCTTATGAATATGCTGTTTTCCCACCCGCGATTAGCCCTCACGGCTGCCAGTCGGCGTACTAACAATACATATGTATGTATGTTGAACTTATTTGTTTAACTATTTGAGGTCTAGGCAGTCTCGATTACTTTGGAGATGATATACTGTACCCTAAGTTTGGCCCCAAAGAGCCTGAAACATGTCATGTGATTTATTTGCTTTCGTTCAGAGTGTACAATGGAATGCTAACTCGTGCTACACCTATTTGCACTGTAGCTGTTCAAGAGATAAGACGCTCAAATTTGGAAGTGACCCTTGTGCCAGTGTCTGCTGAATCATACCACTTCTAGTTGGTCGCATGTTTCTTAACCTTTTAGCTGGCTGTAAGTCCTCAACATAAAACAAATCACTAGCATTACTTGTAGATATAGAATTATTATTGATGATAAAGCGTTGGCAGTCATGCACAATCAAATATAGCAAACTCTAAACACATTCCTCAATAACAGTCAGAAATAGAAACATCATAACTGGTGAAAATTTCAGGCCATGGTTCTTCTTCAGAGCATATACAAAATGGTTTAAGAATGTCAATTGATATAAACGTCATGCATTGTATGCGTTGAGGAGTAGTGAGTGACGTCATGTCACGCTCGCCTCCGGTACGGTGACGGGATGTCCACCTGGGGTATTTAAGGGGGGACCCGTGACGTAAAGGGGTTCGTCGTGGGAGTCCGGGGAAGGTGAAGGTTGGAAGTTGGGACCCAGGGTAGGGGAAATATAACACGAGATCAAGAGTGGCTCCGTTCCCGACTGACTGAAGTTGGATCATCCCTCGGCCAGTGCAGTGGGAAGTGCCCAGATTGTTCGTGGGGGGGGGGGGGGGGGGTGGTTAGGGATTCCCAGTACCCTTCCTTGGGGGGAGAATAGAATAGCCCAGGAGTGTAGGCGTGAGCAGGAACAGTTAGACGTAAGCCTCCAAATAAACCTTGGCGTCAGCCCTTCTGAAGATCTGCCTCCGTGCCATAATTTGTACCGTAACATATGTATAGATGCATTTTCTTTTATGACAGTGTGATTTATGAATATGTTGAGTTGTTTGAAACATGATGATGAAGATGATTACAATTCGTAAAACATAGCATTGGCAGGGGAACACGTGCACAAACTGCAAAGATTATGTTTTCTTTTCATTATTTTTTTCCCTTCTACGTGACTTTACCGAAAGAACCAATAATATGAATCCCTGCAGTCACGAAAGCATAATTTGTATTATGTTTTATTTTGATTAATGTATTATTTCCCTTCTACGTGACTTTACCGAAAGATCAAATAACATATCTCCAATGTGTGCGTGGGTTGTACCACGTGTTGTGGGGACGCAGAACTAAATTCCCTATATTCACTGCGCCCAATCTCGTTCTTGATGATGCCAGAGAGCGCAGCACGGCTCATCAGCGATGTCTCTTTTATGAATGGCCTCTACTCGAGGGCTTGTTTACAATTAATAAATTCCCCAGTGGTGGGAAGCCAGAATATCAGAATATTTTTTTCAGAATATGTATATATATACTGCAGGAGAAATACTATGAGTTATAAAGCTCTTATTTACAGATGTCCAGGAGTGTGGGGCAGGCTGGGAGCGGGTGGCAAAGGGGGGGGGAGGGAGAGGGGAGGGAGAAGGGAGGGAGAGGGGAGGGAGAGGGGTGGGGTCTGGGAGAAGCGTTTGAGAATGCCTCGACTGAGCACTTGAGGGGTGACGTCACCGTGCCAGGGAACGATAGCCCAGTAGCAGATAATTTGAAAAACTCGGACATTGTTAGATTCTCATCGGTGGTGCATTTTCTTTAATTGTTCATTAACATTGATATAATATTTTCTTGGTAGTTGGTGCAAATGTTGCACTATAATAAGGCGCTGTAGGCAGCTGACCTGCCACCATGCTCAAGGGCCAACAGGGGGCAGCCGAGAGAGAGTGAGGTGGGTAGGGGTTGACCGAAGGTCAAACCCCCGCCCCTCCGTGACCAGAGGTTGACACCCCAGACCCTCCCAGGGGCTTGGGGCTGAGGGGGATGGGGCCACCAACCACTTCCTAAGACCCCTTAAGAATTAAGACTATCTAAGACCTTCCAGATGGTTCTGGAGGGGGAGGGGGGGGTCATGAGGGGAGGTGTGACCCTGACCTGGATATAAAAGGCCGCCCCTCTGAATGGGCTGGGCAGTGTTCGCCAACTCAAGCTTGAAGACATCTGAAGACCTGAAGACTGTACCAGCACTCGGGAACCCTCAACCGAGGCTCTCGTTAAAGCCCATTGTAAGCGGACCCGAGGTAGCTCGGACACCCTGGACCCTCCCCTAGGCTCTTGCTAGAGTCAGGGTTGCAACGGACCAGAGCAAGTCCCGGACCCTGGGTGGGTCGGTCGGTCCAGTCTTCGCCTATCCTCCATCGCAAGGGACCAGCGTGTAGTGTAGACCAAAGTGCGTAGGACACGCTAGAAGTTAGGCTGTCTCTCCCTTAGGCTATCGGGTGGAAGGGGCCATACCTTTTCGTGTTACAGTAGTGTTTAATAGAGTTGTTAAGAGTTGTTTCAATAAATGCGTTGCCTCCAACTGACGTCTTTGTGTGGTTAGTTACAGACACAACACAAGTAAGAATTGGTCGTAATTTAATTAATGTGTAGAGGTATTATTGTGCACTCCCCATGATGCTCTCAGCTGGTAGTATCCCACATGTGTCAATAGGGGATGGAAGAGTGACTGAGTCCAGTATCCAAGGACTATGGCCTAAGGGACCAATGGTAACCCCAGACCACTGGAGGGGGCTGGGGTATGACATCACCCTCCCAGGACTTGGTGGAAGGTTCTGGAAGGAAGGTGTGGCCGGGGCGGAGCGAGCCACGGACCTGTATAATAGCTGGACCTCTGAACGGTCCCAGCACTCGTCCACCCGAAGGTCAAGAGCGTACTGAAGAGAAGAGCCCAATGGTCTGAGCCGAACCCTGGCAAGGGTCGGCTCTAATCTATACCAGTGAAGACTGAAGAGAAGAGCCCAATGGGCTGAGCCATACCCCTGGCAAGAGTCGGCTCCAGCTTATATACCAGTGAAGAACAAGCTTCACTCAAGAAGGCTTAAAAAAGCCAGTGATAGGCGTATTAGTATGGAGAGACTGCCTCAATGTATCGCCGTTACCCCTTTGTGTTAGGGATGTATTGTTAATAAAATACGTGTTGCCTCAGAGAGACTCTCCTCTAGTTATTGACCCACTACAACTGGCGTCAGAAGTGGCCAAGAATGGAAACTATAAGGAGACACTGTACCAGGAGCCCGGGTGAAGACAACAACGATTCACCTGCAGGGACGGCGAGCCCTGCGGAGGACAGCGAGGTGCTGCCGGCTGCTCAACAGCCGCCACAGCCATCGGGAGGATTGCCGACAGCAGTCGGTGCGCTCCAATATGTGCACTCTTGTCTTGCCGAGCTGCTCCATGCTGCGGCCTCCATCCTGGAGGAAATAAATTGTGGAGTGCCGATGGGAGAGGTAGTGGACGGAGCGGGCCCACCACCAACGGCTGTTCCCGCCACTGGGCCGGCCGAACATTTTGAAAATTCCGCCAATGGTGGAGGAACTTCCGCGGGAAGTGGAAGTCAGGTGCATCATGGGAGCGGCCTGGACCAACCAGCGAGCGCCGCATCATCAGCGGTGGATGTATGCGGGTCAGACGAACCAGAGGGCACTACGCAATCAGCGACGTGACCCGCTACAGGGGCCGCAATCCTGCCGGCTATCGACATCGCAAAATTGGACGCCGAGCGACTGATCACGGTGCGCATGCCATCTTTCCTGCAACGCCTGCCCATCCTGAAGGAATTCGTGATGGCTGGGGGTGACTGGGCTGCGTTCGAACACCGCTTCCTCGCCCACCAGGAGATGGTGGGCTGGACCGAGTCTGAGGCGCTGCATGTGCTCCCGGCCTCTTTGGATGATGACGCCCTCGACGCTCTCATCACTATCCCGAAAGCAGACTGGGCGACTCTGCACCTGGCGCTCCGCGGCATGTCGGAGATCTATGGGTCACCCTCGGACATTCGTCACCGATTCGCTGCACGCCGAAGGGGTGAGATGGAATCCCCCCTCGCCTTTCACAGCGCTTTGCTGGCCATAGCAAGGGCTGCCTTCCCACGCATGTGTCGTGACTGTGCTTGTCACTGTATGGTGCCGGGGCTTACAAAGCCAAGGCAGGTAATGTGTTGTCATTAGGAGCAGCCCTCGCGGGGCTTGGGTGAGCGCTGGTTAGCACGGAGGCGCCATGAGCAGTGTGTGGTGCAGGCTCCCGGTGACGGGAGCAAGAGGGAGCATCAGCCAGCCAGGGTTACTTTGGGACATGAAACACTGTTTGACCTGCTGACAAGTGACTGGATATATTGGAGTAGGGCCACCGGTGGACGGGGGTGGTCACGTGGTCCAAAAGGCTCTCAGGAACCTTTGAGA